TGTGTGTGGGGGTGTGTGTGTGTGTGTTTGTGTGTGGTTTTTATATGTGGCAGAGAGACGGGGCCATGCACCAGCTGAACTTACAGAGCCAAAAGAAACCCAGAGGGAAGGCTATATTTGACATGAAAGTTGAATGCCATCAGCAATTGAAGCCTCCGGAAGAACATCTTACTTTCAATGTGAGGATCCTCAGTCAGAAACAGGGAAAGGTGGTTCCACAGAGACACATTTATTAATCCAGGCAAAAGCAGTCCCATGAGGACCCTTTCTTCCCTACCTGGGCCAAGGTGAGTGTTGCTTGTCTGCAGGTGCCGCACTGAACTCGGAGCTTTCCAGGCTGGATTCTGTGGCAGGGGCCTTTGCAGTACACATAAAAGCTGTTGTAGGTAGGTTTGACTGCTGGGAGAAAGAGAGAGTACCCAATCAATACTAGGCCAAACTGAGCCAAGACACCCCCCAGAAAAGGCTGTTAGAGGCAAGCCACACAACTAACTCCTCAGGAACATGTGAAATTAGAATGAACATTTCATGAAGGAGATAGCAATTTAGAAAACTTGGTTTTATGTTGAAAAGGAGAGAAGGCCTCTCTTCTTGCCAACAGCCCTGTGACCTACTCATCAGAGTTCACAGACGGCTGCCAAGAGCTGGGCCAGAGTGTTTGCTGCACCAGGAAATTAAATGCCTTCTTTGCTGCTGAAGTTTGGGATGAGGACAGGAAATTCTGAGTCTGGGAAATGCAGAGGCTGCTGCCCTGAATTCTATTTCATGCTTCTGAACACAGTATCGAAGACTCAAAATCTTTTTCTCTTACAATCATATCTGCACAGCCAACCCAGCTTTTCACTCATAATGTGAGTGATTGGACCACAGTTTCTAGGGAATACTTGCCAAAAGCCACTAACACAAAATAAGAGTCCTGAACCCCATGCAGCTTAGCAGATCCTGTAGCCTGTGCAGAAGAAGTGCAGCCCATGCAGATGCACAAATATGCAGATGTGCAGCCTGTGCAGATGTCCAGCTGTGCAGATATGCAAGCTTTGCATTTTGCTAACCGTCTCTCTAGCTGGACAACTGCCATTCAAACAGAGTATTCCCAAGTGTAAAAGATGAACATAAAAAAACAATCAAATCAAATCAAATCAAACCATTTCTCTCAAGTGTTAATATACTGAAAGTGTTACTCCTTAAAATAAGGGAAACTCATGGATAGCTAAGGCTTCTCTGTCTCAAAAGACCTTAATGGAAGCTCTTAGGGTACAATGATTGCTTTCTAAATTCTAAGTTTCCAAACTTACTTGGTCAGTTTTAATCATTATGTAACTGATGCTGGGGCGGGATACCAAACTGCCATGATGTAAACATATGTTTATATTTTTAATCATTGCCAGAAGCATCTAGTAAGTAAGAATAAGTATTTCTTATGATCATGAATAAAAAGTTTGGTCACTCAAATGCATATAGTTGACTAAAAAGAGTACAGAAATAACAAGAAAGCAGCAGAAGACCCTGCCATTTGTTTCCTTGGCTTTACTAACTCTGTGGCTGACAAAACTTTATAAAATAAAAGATAAAATAAGGAGCATTCTGATGCATTTTCAATATATTTCATAATGGCTGCTCCTCAGCAATGAATAGCTGTCAGTGTGAAAGAGAAGGCAGACTATCAAAACATGTTTTTAGTGATGCTGAATATCTGTTTTGACGCCTCTCTGAAGCTTTAGTGTCTTTGTGGGAAAGACATCCAAGTTACGAATATTGCATTGTTATCAGCAAATGTAATTATTACATAAAATATATGTAGATCATAATTGAAACACAGAGCCACTAGTCAATGTTACAGTAGTTATAACATAGTAGATAACTATCAAAAGATCACAGGAACTGTGATAGCTCTAAACTGTGTTAACCCTGTGAAGGATTTCAAATATCCTCACTGTTAAAACCTATCAGCAATGGGGAAAAAATAGAGTCCCACAATTGTCATAACCCTCTGTGAAGCTTAAACAATAAAAATAGAGAACGGATGAAAGAAAAGCCGAGGCTTTCAAAGGGGCACTGTGGGTAGAAGAGATTACCAAGCGCTCAGTATTAAAAGGAACCTGGTCCAAGTGTGGGGCCTGAAGACTCGGCTCTTCCTGTATATCAACAGCAGTGTCTGTGGTGTTCTTTCAGCTAATGATGCATCAGGGGAAGATAGGTGCCCTTCCACCTCTGCATGCTCCAACCTTCACCAAGTCCTTGAGAAGCCAGTCACAGAATGCTGCATGCCATGGTGGTGCCCTGCAAGTCCACGGGATGACATGCAATCCATTACACCTTGCTACCCAGAGCCAGCCGATTAATAGCCAGTCTAAGGGAGATCAAGGTCAGGGCAGTCCTGGCTGAAACACATTTCAAGCTGTTGGCTCCATTCAGGCAAGCAGCTGAGGCTTCGGGTGAAACATGAGAGCCCCTTTCAGAGTGGCTTCCCTACCTTGTTGGTAGTGTGACACAATTCACAGTGGACAGGCTTTTTTTGTGTCCTGCTGTGGCCTGGAGCAAGCAAATGCCCCATGACTTTGTGTGCAGTGTTCCCACTGGCTTGGCTGAAGAACCTGCAGCTGAAACTCTCCCAGAGTCCTCACTGCAGAGACAATACCAGGCTGACTCTGGGCACTGTCACAAGGCACTGGGCACCTCTAGTCACTAAGGGGCATCCCCCATTTCCATTTCTTTTCAGACCTTAAAGATCTTTGCTCTCCTAATCCCGAGGTCTTTGCTTCATTACCCAAAGTAATTGAATTAGCTCATCTTGTAATACATCCCTCTTGTTATATAATACACTTAGACCTACTGTTAAACTGTATACCTTTATTGTAGTTTACCAACTGTGGTCATTTTGGTGGGCACCCTTCATGTATCTGTACCATAGACAGACATACAGTCTTCACATACATACTTCTGACTGTAACTTTCATGATTAATTTGCCCACACTAAGTATGTCCATTTTAAATCTTCCAGCATCTTGGTGATAAGGGCTTTTAAAATACAGAAACCACAGAAGGTTTAAAATAGTTTGTCTGTTTTAGAATCTCTAACCATAGATTGCTAAGTAATGTTCACCACACATTACAGAGCACTACCGAAACTTTGAAAGCTTTTAAAACAGAGTATCAGGTGCTATTGTTGTTGTTGTGCAAATCTCTGGGCATGCACCTGAGGCTCCGTGGTGAGGTCAGATGAAACCCAGCACATTCCAAACATCACTGCCTTCTTTTTATGGTGTATCTCAGGAAACTTTTACTCAGGAAATTTATGGAAAAAGAATTAAGGGTTAACCTACAGTAACCCAAACTGCTTGTGTCTACATCAAGAATTCTAAAATATTCTTGGAAATTATATGGTGACGGTCATGTTCTGGCTTCCTGTTTTGATAATTCTGTTCCTAGAGAGTTGTAAACAATATCTATCCTCTCCTTATAAAGTCTGCAGGACAAACTGAAGTCTAATTCCACCAAAGTTCATGCTGGGGAAGCAATGAGCTTCTTGGCTTATATGTGTAGTAGCGTGGGTACCCCAAAGCAGCCGAGAGATTCTTCTCCCAGTGCAGAGATGGCTTCCCTATGGACACATGGATGGAGTCCCCTTCCCATTTAACATCCCCCATGTTGTATATGCAGATGTAGAGAGACAGATACACCAGGCAGTGGGCAATTATGGCAGAAGTGCATACAAGTGCCTGGAAGGAGCAGTTTGAAACTCTGGTGAGGGTCCATTGACTCACAACTCTCTCTGTTGTGAGTAAACAAAGCAGTAATAACAGATATCTACAGGTAGCTACAACCAATGTGATGAAAATAGAGGCTGTTTTGGCCACAGACTGCATTCTTAGACACTTTCAAGTCAAGCCATCTATAAGTTGACACAAGTATTTCATCATATGCAGTGAAAGTTAGCTCATTATACAGTGGTTTTACAAGTATAACATACTTATTTCATTGAGTTTTTATTTTTATCTCTACAGAAAAGTTAAAACGACAGTGAGCCCTCACCCTTGGAAAGGATGAATCCTTTTGAGCACTGGCTTCTACCATTCCTTTGTATTAAAATTCTATTATTTTTTCTTTTGTTTTCCTTTTCTACTTTTGCCTCAGCAACACAACCATTGGCCAAGTTTTCTCTTTACATTTATATTTTTTTCTTGGTCTGAAAAAGGATGCTGAAGGTCTTAATAATGTTTACAAATTATAAAGCCCATATTTTAAAAATTATGTACTGAGAGAGCAAGGAAGATACACGGGAGGGTTTAGAGAGAGGAAAGGGAAGGGAGAAGTGGTAGGATTAAAATCTCAAAAGGAAAATGAAAAGTTTATTATTTGCTTTGCTATTTATAAATCAGCACAATTGTTACAGTTGTCATTTGTAATGACATTTTAAATTTGGGATTTAAAACCTAAAGAACCATTTTTAATAAAACAGGTATTTATCCCACATGAAGATATCAAAATATCATGTAAAACATTAAATGGAACTCTACTGTCATAGAGGCCCTCCTACTTCTGCCTCACCTGACACATGTGTAAATGACATGTGGCCAGTAGCTACCTGTGACTATAGAGAATTGGAAACTAGGCTAGGGAAAACTCTTTTTGCTTTTGTTAACTTTAAAAGAAACTTCATTTCAAAAGCCTCATGTGAGTAGCAGGTGGCAACACAGAAGATAATAAAAAAAAAAGGTGCTTCTAGCCTCATCTCACTCTCTCACCAGGACACAGACGACAACACCAAGGAAGGAGACTGCCACAAAGAAGTCCAACTGCTCATTGCTGACTGCTGATATGAAAACACAGTTGGAAGGAGAGAAAGGGAAAGGAGAGCTCAGAATTGGAGGCATTGGAGGAAAGATGGAGATGGGCGGATCCTGGCTACTTAGAGCTGGAAGTGCAGCAAGGCTGTTCTTCATGTTGTGCTGACTTCCATTCCATACTGACTCAGTCTTGACATGGGCTTCAACAACAATCTTGCATTTTCACTGACAGTCTCCACCTTTGCAATCTGACACTCATCCTCAATGTCCAACTGGAAGGAAAATTCTTGCAAGAATCCTGTCCTTTGTTTTCCATAAATATATGATGACTGCATAAAATAATATCTAAGAGCACAAAGCTCTGCATTGTCATCTATGAACAACTGTCTTGTCCCACGCCACAGAGCCAGCATAGGTGTCTCAGCATGGAACATCCTGTACACAGCCTCTGTCTAGCTACTTCTACATCACACAGGTCTGGCACTTGGTAGTTATTATGTAAGAAAGATTTCAATATCATCTGAACAAATAGCACCATCTATCAGCTATGCTCTGCAAGCTTCCTTAGTTTACCACTTGCTCCAATCACACATTCAGTCCTAGAGGACTCCT